GGGACGGGACGGGGACAGGGACGGGGACAGGGACAGGTGCGGCACCGCCACCGCGGCTCGACGGGACTCGCCGCCCCCGCCACGGGCACCGCCCGCGCCCCGCCGCCCGGCCGCGCGCCGTCATCCCGGTGCGGCATCGCTGAACCCCCCGCCCACCGGGGAGGCCTCGGCGGGAGCAGCACCGGGAGCGGTACTGGGAGCAGGCGCTGCTACGGCTCCCCGAGGACCGGGACGGGGCCGGTGCCATGAAGGAGGACCACCAGCATCCCATCGACCTGGGTGAGGCGCCGGGGCCATCCCGGCACCGGTCCCGGTGCTGCCGGTCGTGGCCTGGCCGTGAGCGCGGAGATCACGGGGTGGCTCCACGGGCAGCTGTGGTGGGGGATGTGAACACCGGCCTGTTGCGACCAATGGCATCTCCGGTGGGGTCTGCGGTGGCATCACCGGCCGTCCCTCCTCTTGTCTCCGTGACAGGTTACGCCGTCACCAAACCCGACATCCTGGCCGAGGTGGAGCGAGGGGACGAGGTGGTGGAGGTGGCCGTGGGGCACTACGGGGAGCACCAGAGCCCCCGGCCACGTGCGGCGCCCGCCGGCCCCTCCCAGGGTGAGCGGGACATGGGGACAGGTGGGACTGGCAACAGGGATCGGGTGATGGGTCGGATCCTGCCAAGCCGTGGTGAGGAGGCCACTCCCCAACTCACTCCTGTCTCCTCAGGGGACTGGCTGGGGAAGGAGGTGAAGACTGAGGAGGGGGTGTCCCCACCCCCCTACTCCCCCCTGGCCCACCACACGGGCCCCGCCGAATTCCTCACCCCGCTGCAGGAGCGGGGCTGCAGCTACTGTGGCGTCGCCGAGCCGGAGCCGAATCCCGCTGCGGGTACTGGGGGGTTCATCACCTCCGTCCCCGCTTTCGAGAGCCGCCGCTGCCGGGCGGGGGAGCCGCCGCTGGAGTGCCCCGAGTGCGGCCGAGGCGTCGGGCAGAAGCCGGACCTGGTGCGGCACCGGCTGGCACGCGGCGTGGAGCGTGGCTATGGCTGCGGCCACTGCGGGAGGGGCCTCGCCGAGCCGGCGGGGCTGCGGGCCACGGGCAGCACCCACCGCCCGGGCCCCTGTGCCGGCCGCGCCCCGGGCACGGCCGAGGGGGCCGCGGCAGCGCCGCGCAAGGAGCGCAAGGAGCTGTCGCTGACGGAGAAGGTGCGGGTGCTGGAGATGCTGGAGGGACCCAAGGTGTCGCAGAGCGAGCTGGCCAAGCGCTTCGGGGTGTCGCAGCCCCAGATCTGCCGCATCATCAAGAACAAGGAGCGCATCCTGAGCGAGTGGCAGCGCAGCGGAGACCCCGAGCGCAAGCGCAAGCGGGAGGGCAAGGACGCGGCGCTCGAGGCCGCGCTGCTGCGCTGGGTGGAGGGCGCCCGCGCCGCCGACCTGCCCGTGGGCCGCCCACTGCTCCAGCTCAGGGCCAAGCACTTGGCTGGGGCGCTGGGCCGGCCCAGCCCCGAGCCCGGCGGTGGGTGGCTGGCGCGCGTCGCGGCCTTCAAGAAGCCACCGGCAGAGAAAGGGGACGCGGAGCAGCCGCCGGCGGAGCACTGGGCCGGCGCGGTGCTGCCCGCGCTCCTCCGCGGCTACGCGCCCTCCGAGATCTTCTCCTGCGGGGAGGCCGCGGTGCCGCTCCCGGCCGGCTGCCCCGGCGAGCGGCTCACGCTGCTGCTCTGTGCCAACGCCAGCGGCTCCGAGAAGGTGCCGCTGCGGGCGCTGGGGGAGAGCCCCCGGCCGCGCTGCCTGCGCGGCGTCAACCTGGAGCAGATGCCGTGGAGTTACCGCGCCGGCAGCCTGGGCGCCCTGACCGCGCCGCTCTTCGCCGAGTGGCTGCGGGAGTTCAACGAGGGGATGCGGCGGCAGGGGAAGAGCATCCTCCTGCTCCTCGCCAAGCACGAGGCGCACCCCTACCTCCAGCTGTCCAATGTCAGGATGGTCTTCGTCCCTCCGGCTGCCGCCCTGGCACAGCCCCTGGACCGTGGCATCGCCGGCGACCTCAAGGGCCACTACCGGCGTCGGCTGCTGCGGTGGCTGCCGGCGGAGCGCGGCGCGGGGCAGCCCACCCTGCTGGATGTGCTGCACATGCTGGCACAGGCCTGGGGCGACGTGTCCCCGGGGCTCATTGCCAGCTGCTTCCGTGCCGCCGGCTTCGTCCCCGACACCGGTGCTGAGGCCGCGTCCCTCAGCCTGGCACACGGGCTGCTCGGCCGGGAGCAGCTGGAGCGCGGCGGGGAGCCGGCGGAGGCGGACGGGGACGAGGGGATGGTGGAGGGCGAGGACGCGGCAGAGCTGGCGGCTGTACCGCCCTGCCCCTCGGAGCGGGAGGTCTGGAGGAGCCTGGCCACGCTGCGGCGGTACCTGGAGTGCCAGGCCACCTCGCCAGACCTCTTCCAGGCCTTCTACGAGCTGGAGGACGCGGTGCACATGGTGTCGGCCGGCGCCGGGCGAGCCCTCCATGGGGACACCCCTCCCAAGCAGTGAGGGGGGCGGCTGGCACGTGCCCAGACCTGCTCATGCCCGGTGCTCACCGGGGCCATCACCGGCCCGGCCTGGCCACCATCCCCTGCAGTTGTGCCGTGGGGTTTGCTGTGGATCTGTGTGGCCCCGTGGGGTCACCGTGCACGGGGGCTGCGGAGCCGCTGTGCTCTGGGTGTCACCCGTGAGGCAGTGCCAGGGGCACAAACCTG